AGGTTTATAACCGTGTATGCAGAATTTTATATGGGGTTTGAGAAATGATTCCTGAATACATATAATATCGGGATTTATGCAGTGAGTTTCAATCTAACGAATAATGAATGGAGCATGAGCCTTAATGCCCCTGGCATTCCACTGTAATATTTGTAAAGGGCCTATTGTTTATTTGTAGGAGCACTTACTTGGTAAAGTTCATAAATTGAGCCTGGATTAATATCATAACCAAAAATGGTACTTGCCAATTCGGTTACGAAAGATATCCTCGTTTTTCTGCAATTTTATTGCCAAAAGGACTGGTCTTGAGCGATTGTATGTCACCTCAACTGTTTGAACAAATCGTTACTTTCGTAGCCAAAATAATTTCGCTTCAAATAGTCATCACTATCCTGTTGAGAAGTGTTTTCGTTACGTTTGTCGGGAGATCGAGGTTTCTGTGGTTCTTTAGGCAGGTGTTTTGTTTCCACAGGCTGTCGTTTCTGTGCAACAAGTTGACTTGCTTGGGCGTAACTCAGTTTTGACTGTACTCTAACAGTTTGAACCTCCTTTGCCTCCTGAAATCTTTGACAGCCCTTGTATGCTGCCGAATGTTCACCCCCACATAAATAACATACTGGAGTGTGCTTAGTACAGTCCTTTGCATTATGATTTTCGCCACAAGTGGCACATCGAACATTGCTGCGGCACACGTTTGCAGTATGTCCGTAACGTTAGCACTTAAAGCACCGCGTCGGGTGGGGGATAAATTCCCGTACAGGAAACGACAAAAAGCCGAGATGTACTCTCTTAGGTAGGGTCGTAGATGAGAAATGAAGAATAACGGAACTTATAGGTTCTTTAAGTTTTAGTTCTTTGTTGTATCGCGTCATTCTTATTGCCTTCGTAACACCCTCTATGGATGTACAGTCCTCCTCAGAATGTCGAGGTGGACCCCATGAATGATGCCCCTAACAGAAGGTGGGGGCACGTCTTGAATTTGGGAAGGTATTTTATATCCACAAATGTTTTTTGTACGCGACAATAATCTCGACTGTGAATAAGTACAAACTATTTTAATACGATCTGTTTGCAATTGAATTTTATCAGTAGGCCCAATGACATCATTAAGGGCTCTACTCAAGAGCATGGGATTTACTTTGGCTATATTGATGTCTGGCGAAATAATAAAAACTATTTGTTTCCTGTCCGTATTTGACTTTTTGTGACCGATAGATTCGACATTTGAACCGAAATTAGATCGCACTCGTTTACTAGCACAATCCCTATCGAAATCCATGTCTTGCGACACACCAA